GTTGTGTTGTATCGCTCACTAGTGGATCGTGAGAACTGAGCTTCTCTGCGTACGGAAGCCTTACTGGACGCTCCAATGATGACTGTACACTTTTCTCTGTATCAGATTGGTTCGCACCCTGCAAATTGTCAATAGCAAACATCATTGCGAAGATTTCGAGAATGAAGATGTGAGCATGAAGTATACAAGTAGAGGAAAGAAAAGCCTAAAGAGATAGTTCATCGAAATCTGCATCGATGTTACAAGGTGAACATATTGGACAACCAATAAATTTATGCATTTTAACCTTTGATGATTCGAGTTCAGAAGTTCCGTGATAGAACAGTGTTTTCAAATCGCCGCTCTGGTACATCTGGTTCTGCCTCTGTTGCTCCTCGAAACATTCATTGATCAATTGTACCTATAATATTGGCATCGTGAAAGCTCCAGTTTCCAAGAAGAAATACTTGACGCAAAATCATTGTAAAGACATTGTAAGGTAACTAAACTAAATTTTTTGATGGTTCTTCTAAATCTACACACAATTTCGACGCACGCAACGAATTCTGGACAACTCAAATACGCGTGTTCTGACTTAACCAACTTTCTGCACATGACATATCAGTGTAAGTTAAGGCATTTCTGAAGGCGTAACTCAGCAAATGCACAAATCCGCAGAAACAGGATATGTGCAAATGAAAAAGTCTCCTTTAAAACATAACCTCTTAACATTGAACATAATTTATAATATGCAAATAAGGAAAGACAGAATTTAGATCACCTCAAGATCTTCCGGCTCTGCAAGTTCAGCAGGCGGTTCTGTAGAGGGACAGTTGCTCGATAACAGACTTGAGACTGCAGGAGAGCTATGACCTCCAATCAAAGGACTCGAGTGATTGCGCTCAAGACGTATGTGCAGTTCCTAGTTAAACAATTATAGAGCAATGCTTTAACTACACGCTGAAAAAAGCTAAGGCTGACTTTGAGCTCAAAATCGTGACACGAGTTTGGTAGATTGCTGAGAATGCTGCTATCCTCATCATCATCTAACAGATAGCTTTCATCTAAATGAGAAGCCACTGCCGTTTCTGAAAAGCATGATCACTGCGAATATGGGCGTTAATGATGAAGTTCCAACGAATTCAAACGCTAAATGGGTATCAACTGTTAACAAAGATCCCACCATGTGTCCTCGTATTGTTGTTACCACTTGGTGAAGGACTATATATCGAAGGTAGCGTGGTACGTAGAGAATTTTGGGTTGCAGCCGTTGCGGCAGCATACTGCACTGCTTGTTCAAAAAGAGAGGCCTCGAACTGGCCCGACCCGTACGAAGATGTGTAGGGGAGACCCGGATTACCAGCAAACATTCTCGATCCGTCCACGACCATACATTGCTTCGGTACACTGGTTAGTCTGAAATGTCTAAATACGGTCACTGCAATAAGTGCGCGTTCGGGTAACTGCTGGAAAATATTTTTCCGGCATGCAGACTCATGACTACACAGTGGCAGTCATAAGATAAATGTACGTTGATGTCTGATGGTAAAATGAAGCCGTAAATTGCTAAACGAAAGGTTGAGAAACCTTGGACTAAGCCATCAAATCTCACTAAATTCAGAATTCCAAAACGGATGACACAACAAAAAAATGGCAATTCCACCACTGAGAGCGCCTTTACATAAGTAATTTGGATGGGTTACGAGTTCTTGATAAAAGATGCGACAGAAAACAAGAAACTTGCTTACCCAGCAATGATGTTTTGGTTGGTGGTAGTGTCATAATCGGTTAACGTGGACATTGTTTGCTCTGAAAAATCGTGAATTTTACGTAGCAGACATTTGCATTATTGCATCATTTTCAAATCAGAGGTCATTTTGCATTCCCTATGTCTTTCAAAGGTGATAATGTGAACTATTAGCATGGAAAATCTCACCCTTAATACCAAAAAAGAAACCCAGGTTAGTCAGACAACAGTAAAGAGTATGGCAAATTTGTTAATTCGACTCCAAAGCTCAGACGTTCATCAACAAAATGAGATATGCAATCTATCACTGGTAACAGAAAAGTTCACTCGGGACTTGTCAAACGACAATAAAAAAATGAACTCTGTATTGCAAACTGATGACATTGCCGAAATGATGTAACGAAAACTTACGGGTCTCCGAGTCGATCCCCGTCTAGAAGCGGGAATCCGCACCTGCAACAGAAGTGATAATATAGACGACTGCGCAAAAAAGCATTTCGAAAATGCAGCGACGCCAAAAAAATGAACTGCAGAGGAAGTCCAGGCTGCAGATCTGATCCCTACAACCATCAAAAAAAGACTATTTCAGAAGAATGGACACTTAATAACACCGAAAAAACAAATTGTTAAACTTGGGAGGTCATAATGGTTGCTGCATCATGGCTGTGATAACGAGAAGCGGCGGGATGGGTGACCGCAACGCGCACGCTGCGCGTTGAGTCGGATGCGTCGCAGATTTGAAAACCTCGACGGGCGTCCCACAACTACAGCGAGCTGGTGGTCAATCAGGTGTCGCTCTTCTCCACGATCAACTTCCTTATGGTTTCCAACCAGAAGCAGCATCACCCTGAGGAACAGGAGACCTGTGTGTCAGTGGACAACGAACATATCATTCATTCTGTGACTAAGAGACTCAAGCACGCTTTGCGTACGTTCAATTAATAAGTTCATGGATGAGTTCCAACGCATTTTGGTTGATCTATTATCAGGTTCTTGAAAGAACATGTTCGAACAAGGTTGAACTACGCAAGATCCAACATGTTTTTTCACGAATTCCTTATAGTAAATTACCCAAACGCGTTAGAACTCGTTCGTGAACTTGTTGATCACAAATACGCAAAGCGAACCCGTGTCTCTTAGTCAGACTTTAGTCAGACGTTTGGCTTTTCAAGGGACGCTCACTGAGGTTTCGCAAAAATGACAGGATATCCTTGATATCTACAAAACTAGAGGCGCTTGTTTCATCTCCTTATAGGCGTACTATAAGCTTTGTGTTCGCAAAAAGTTAAATACGTTGTCATCGTCCCTTTCCATTTCAGATGTACGGTAATGGATGTAAATTGTCCTCTCAATCACTAAATAACGTGCTTTGTATGTGTGTACTTCAGAAGCTCACTTCGGTTTTTTTTTCATGCACCTTAGGCTTGATAAAGGATATTCGTTGACGACAGCCCCGTTTCGTGCATT